TTTAGAGAGTGACTTAGATGAATTCGATAAGTTCCATTCGCTGTTATGTTAATCTTAAATAACTGATGTAGTGTTAATTGAATACAAATGATCTAGTCTATGGATGTCTAATTTCAATTCCGGGTAGTATTTAAGTGGTCAAAACATGATTAATCATAATAAGTATAGTATGATCTATACAATGTCTAGTATGATTTGAAACATTTATTTATATAATACGAACGTGGGTGATAGTTAATTGTATATGAAATATTTATAAATGTTATTGAACCGATTGCAATCAAATATATTAACACTCTTTATACGTTAATATCTGCTTATAATTTGAGAACTAATTTTTGTAAATTAGTAAAATAAATATTTGATTAGCATCATTTGTTTGCAATTTAGTGAGTCAGAAATTTTTTTTCAAAATATAACCATAAATGGGGAATAACAGTGAATTACGGAAAAAACGTTTGTGGCACTTATTTCATTCCATCATTGGTACCACAGGCTTCAGGTTCGAATCCTGACTGGGACATGGATGTTTGTGAGTGGTTCGGAATGCAGGTTAATCTATTGGTCCCATATCTAATTAGCCAAAACTCTGCAAAAAAATGATCATACAGCAATAAACCAAACCAATTTTGGCTGCCTGATGGCCAATTGGCTAGCGCTCTGGCCTTTGTTACCACCCGCTTCCGGTTCGATTCCTGGAAGTATCATGGATGTTTGTTAGTGGTTCGGAATCCAAGTTAAACTATAGGCTAAAATTACCTGGACCTAAAGTGTGCAAAAAATGTTAGTAGAGAGACAAACCAAACCAAGCTCCAAGTTTGAATTTTTGTAAAATGAAAGACATTTTGTTATTGTTTTTAAATATTCTTCTTGAGTATTAATAAAAAGTGAAAACACAAATAAACAGTTATTAAATACTAAGATTTTCAACTGATGACAAATGCAAACTTCAAAAAAAAAAAAAAAAAAAAAACCTGTCACCAAATATATGCGTATGCAACTAGATATAATCAATTATGTGCATGCAATTGTCTGCCAGACTTACTCGGGGGCTTTCGGTTTATCAAACCAGAACATTTATTTGGTTTACTCTACCATTCAGATGCAATTGGTCCACGACATCAGTTCAGACATTTATTACAATGCACGACCATTGGAAATATTTCAGGCCAGATTGTGAGGACGAATATATTAGTCAACTCTTTGAATAGAACCAACTTTAGAGAATGGCTTAGATGAATTCGGTAGGTTCCATTCGCTGGTATGTTAATCAAACAACTGACGCACGTTTAATGAATACAAATGATCTGGCATGTATGGATGCTGAATTTCAATTCCAGGTGGTATTTAAGTTGCCAAACCATGATTAACCATATGCATAGTATGGTCTGTACAATGGACTAATGATTTTGATACATTTATTTATATAATACGAGTTATGGCGGTAGTTAATTGAAAAATATAATATTTTTAAATGTTATTGAATCGATTGCAATCAAATAAATTGATTGTTAACAATCCGTATGGGCCTGAATGACCGACCGTCTAGCCGCTCTGGCTCTAGGTGCGATAGGTTTAGGGTTAAAATCCAGTCAGTGTCCGTAAATGTTTGTAGTGGTTCGGAATGCTACATTAAGACTTAGGTCCAGGTCTCGTATGGCTGTAGATAGTCACGGGGCCCATTCAAACTTCTCACCCATAATGCATTCCCAAACTGTGTACAGGGGGCAACTCAGCTCTGTGCAAAGTGATGTATTGTAGTGTTAGTGGTGGTGGTTCGGAATTCATGTTAAACTGTAGGTCTGGGTCTAATCAGTCAAAGTGTGCAGAAACTGACCGTATAGCGGCAAATCAAACCACGCTTGGCACCCTGATGGCCAATTGGCTATCACTCTGGCCTTTGGTACCAAATCTTTCAGGTTCGAATCCTGGAAGTGTGGCATTTATATTTGTTAAAGGTTTGGTATCCCCGTTAAATTGTAGATACCGATATTTTTAACCTAAAGTGTGTAAAAAATGACCGTAGAGCGACAAACCAAACGAAGCTCCAAATTTGATTTTGGTAAAACGAAATAAATTATTTCATTATTTTAAATACTCGCGTTGATTATTAATATAAGATAAAACAGAAATAAACTAAAGTTAATAAATACTAAGTTTTAAAACTATTAACAAAATCAACTGATAAAAAAATTCTAGTAAACAAATATATTTCTGGGCAACTGGATATAATCTATTATGCGCATGCAATTGTCTGCCAGACTTACTCTGGGGTTACGGCGTATCCAGCCAGAACATATATTTGGTTTACTCTCTCATTCAGATGTAATTGTTCCATGACATTAGTCCAGACATTTATTACAATGCACGACACACTGAGATGTTTCAGCGACATTATGAGGACGCATATATTAGTCAACACTTTGAATAGAGTCGACTTTATACAGAGAATGACTAAGATGAATTCGGTGGGTTCCATTCGCTGCTATGTTAATCTAAACAACTGACGCCCGTGTTAATTGAATACAAATGATCTGGCATATGGATGCTGAATTTCATTACCGGTTTGGTATTTAAGTTGACAAAGCATGATTAATCATAATAAGTATAGTAAGATCTGTACAATAGACTAATGATTTGAAACATTTATTTATATAATACGAGTTATGGTGACTGTTAATTGTATATGTAATATTTATAAATGATATTGAACTGATTGCAATAAAATAAACTCATTATTAACAATCCGTATGGCATTGAATCAATTGAAATCAAATAAATTGATTATTAACGATTAGTATGGGTCTGAATAGCTGAGTGTGTCTGGCTCTCGGTGCCACAAGTTTAGGGTTCGAGTCCTGGCGGTGTCATGCATGATTGTAGTGGTTCGGAATCCACATTGAGCGGTATGTTTCTGCCTCATATGACTGTAGAGCGTCACGGAGACCAGTCAGACTCCCCCAACATCATTTCCAAACTGTATAGGGCCAACTCAACTCTTGGCGATGCAAGGTGATGTGATGTGGCATGGTGTAGAAATAGTAGTGGTGGTTCGGAATCCACGTTATATTGCAGGTGCCTGTATAATTAATCAAAGTGGGAAAAAATAACCGTAGAGCGATAACCCAAACCAAATATGACTGCCAGATGGAAAATTGGCTAGGCTCAGGCCTTTGGTACCACATTCTTTACGTTAGAATCACGGAGGTGACATGGGGCTTTGTTAGTAGTTCGCAATCCACTTTAAACTCTATATTCCTGTCTATTCCTAATGCCCTTAGAGTGACAAACCGAAGCAAGCTCCTAGTTTAATTTCGGTAAAATGAAATAAATTATTTTATTATTTTAAGAAATAGTCTTGATTATTAATATAAGGGAAAACAGAAAAAAAAAAAAAACTAGAGTTAATAAATACTAAGTTTTAAACTGAGGAAAAATGCAACTTCAAAAAAAGTTCCAGTCACCAAATATATGCGTGGACAACTGCATATAATAATATATTATGTGCATGCAATTGTCTGCCAAACTTACTCGGGGCTCACGGTTTATCCAACCAGAACATATATTTGGTTTACTCTCTCATTCAGAGGTAATTGTTCCGCGACATCAGTTCAGACATTTATTACAGTGCACGACACACTGAAATATTTCAGCCAGATTGTGAGGTCGCATATATCAGTCAACTCTTTGAATAGAACCGACTTTAGAGAATGGCTTAGATGAATTCGGTGGGTTAAATTCACTGCTATGTTAATCTAAACAAGTGACGCACGTGTTAATTGAATACAAATGATCTGGCATATGGATGCTGAATTTCGATCCCGGGTGGTATTTAAGCAAAGCAGCATAAGAATGGAACCTACCGACTATTCATCTAAGTATTCTTATGGTGGTGGTAAAGTCGGTTCTATTCAAATCAGATTGACAATATATGCTGAATGGTCCTCACAATCTCACTTTGTGTTCGAAATATTTCGGACCATGTGTTTCTATTGATTCGGAATCAATAGATGTCTATGACTGTAAGCAGTCACGGAACAATTACATCTGAAATTATATAGGAGCAAGTTATACAGTGTTGGATAAAACCGTAAACCCATGTTAAACTGTAAGTCTGTTCTAGACAATTGCATGCAAAAAATACTTCGAAAGATTACATCTGAGATGTCAACTCTATATTTGGAGACTAAAATTTTTTTTTTTTGAAGATGTTGATTTAACATCAGTTTAAAAACACCATTTAAAATTAAATTATTCTCTATTATTTTGTTCTCTTGATTTCTATCAAAAATCAAGACGATTATTTAAAATAATTTTTAAACTGAGAAATAATTTATTTCATTTTACCGAAATTTAAACTTGGATTTTGCTTGCCAGACTTACTCGGGGTTTACGGTTTATGTGTCGATCTTCATTCATTTTTTCTGTGACATTAGCACAATTTAGAATTCAACAAAAAATATTTCAGGAGATCGACAGTTTCACTTTTGAATAGATTCCAAACCCTTAACAAAAACATCTAAACAACTGACGCACGTCTTAATTGAATACAAATGATCTGGCATATGGATGCTTAATTTCAATACCGGGTGTATTTAAGTTGTCAAAACATGATTAACAATAATAAGTACAGTATGATTTGTACAATAGTTTAATGGTTTGATACATGTATTTATAAATGTGAGTTATAGCTTTAGTTAATTGTATATGTTGTTGTTGTTTCTGTTCTTAGTTGGCTGGCCAAGCCCACGAGCCCATACGTACTCATGATTGAAGGGGAAGGAAGCAGCTTCTGTTGTGATGGAGCACCCGTAGGTAGAAGCCTGACTTTGGCTCCGTGACGCTCTTACAGTCATAGGAGACCGGGACTTACGGCGTAAAGTGGATTCCGAACCACTACAAACATCCATGGCACCGCCGGGATTCGAACCCGAAACCTGTGGCACCGAGCGCCAGAGCGCTAGACACTCGGCCATTCAGGTCCCGAATTTGTGAATGCCAACGGCACGCGGTGTTCCCAGGTGGTCACCCACCCAAGTACTGACCGCGCCCAATGATGCTTGACTTCGGTGATCTAACGAGAACCGGTATTGTATATGTAATATTTATAAATGATATTGAGTAGATTACAATCAAACTAATAAACATTCTATATACGTTATTATCTGTTAATAATTCGTGAATAGCTTTTTTAAAATTAGGAAAAAAATATTTGATTACCCTCATTTGCTTGAAATTTAGTAAGATATAAAAAATCAAAACATAATTTCCACAAATTGTGGGGCTGCCTGGTGGCCATGGCGAGCGCTCTGGTCTTTCCCAGGCTTCAGGTTCGTATCCTGGCGGGGGCATGGATTTTTGTCAGTGATTCGGAATCCACGTTAAACTGTAGGTCCCGGTCTGTTAAGCTCAAAAGAGTGCATAAGATGACCGTAGAGCGACAAACCAAAACAAACTTGTGGAATAATGGCAAATTAAGGAGAAAATACTTAATTTATTTATTTACATTTTTTACAAAATACTGAAATAGGAGTGACGGGCATTGAGGTGATATCCTGCATTCGAGCATCGTATGGGAAAAAACCATGAAAACTCTTCACAGGTAGTCCGACAAACAAGGCAAAAATGCTGTCCATCACAAACGTCATCGAATCTCTTCGTTTTTGATCACATGCTTCAGGTTCGAACCCTGGTGGTGGCATGGATGTTTCTTAGTGGTTCAGAATTCACCTTAAACTGTAGGCCTGTTCACAAGATGACCGCAGAGCGACAAACCAAACCAAATTTTTGCTTTTTTGAAACAACAAAGCCGCCAGCGGATTGAACCGCCACCCTAATGCTCATCAGTTGCGCACTTTGCCACTGAGCCACGATTCGGGCTTTATAAAAAGTTTTAAATTTTATCACAGTTTGAATAAATATTTTTAAAAATGATCTGAAATAACCGTTTAAATTTAATTTTATATTTATGATAAAAGAAGCAGGTACACCAGATAAATTTTCAAAAATGTCTAAGGTATCAGATTTAATCCAGTGTTTCTTTCACTTGATACTTTTTCTAACATCAATAAAAAAAATACGGCTAATTAGTGAAATTACAATCAAATCTAATGCGTAAAAGTTTTGTTTCATTTAAAAATTAAAAGTTTTTTTATCTTGATGAACTAAGCAACTCAGACAAAATTGGAATTTCTGAAAAGTTTCCAATGATTGCTAAAAAGAAGGGGAAAAATTTCCACGCTAGAAAATAATTTCTTCTTGTGAAAATATATTCTCAGAACACAGTTTCCAGTTTTTGTTTGAAACGAATTTCCTTGAAATAAACTTTTTTTCATCTTCTTACTAAGAAATTTACAAAGAACTAAATAATTCGTAGTGAATTACTAATTAGAATTGTTATATTAAATTAGAAGGACCGAAATAAACTCAAAATTTAAGAAAAAAATATTTCAATCTTTTTTAGAATTCGTTAAGCAGAAGACATAAAAAAATATTCTACAACTAAATTATTCAACTAATATTCTTAACTGAATTACACATTTAACTGAATTACACATTTAGTACTTACGTATTAACGTTACCTTGGCGACATATGCGCCAATAAAGAGCACACGCGCCAACCACAGCTAAGATTTGGCGGTTTTAAGTGGCGCTAATCTACACTTGAAATTTTGTTCCAAATAATAAAATAAATGGAACACTTCATTTAAAATCAAAACGCTTTCAAAATTCGACGTCAACTCCTCGCACCAGCAGTATATGAATCTTAAAGCTGTACAAAATGGAATTCTGCTTCCCTCAAACCAGTTGTCTTTTCTAAGTCCCACACGATAAGCAACTGACTGAAATTGCATTTCCAAGACTTACGTTCACTAAAATAAAGTTTCATGTCATGGGAATTGGGACATTTTCGTTGTTTTGATAAAATATTTCGCTCCTGGAAAAAAAAAATGGCATCTTGTTCTGTTTCTGGCAAATCCCAAATACGCATTTTTTAGCACTTCAAAATGGCGTCAAAAAAATTCAAAATCTGCAGCTGTTAGATTGCCGCCATCAAATCTGCAGCTGTTAGATTGGCAACACTAAAAAACCGCCAAGTCTGTCGCCAATTAATACGTAAGTACCCACATTTATAACTAAATTGTACATATGTTTTACATTTATATAAAATAACAATAATAAATAAAACGACACAAATCAATTTTTTGTATTCTGATTTATATGGGTTGAATGGTGATAGCATTATCTAGTCGGAAAAGGAAAAAAATATATTATCAAATTTAATTTTTATTAATTATATATAAAAAATATATTTTCATAAATTATAATAGAGATTCTACCTATAAGTAACTTTTTTTTTTTTTTTTAAGAATTACAGAAAAATATTTAAATGTCTGAGCTGAGAAATTCGACTGATGAATAATCATTTTAAATTTTTTTTTTCGAAAACATTTGTTTACATTAGAAGCAGTTGTTTGCATTCGAACATTTGAATATTATTTTTATTTTTTATTCTCGCAAATACATTTTGTTAGATTACAGATTTCATAGAATTTGAAATTTATTTCGTGGAAATTTTCGATAAAGCTTACAAAGGAATTTAATTATTTAGCAATAAAAATCAATTCAGTCAAATTGCAAAAGTTTTATGATTATATTCTCATTAACGTTTGACATTAAAAAACCATTTTCTTTTTAAAGTATTAAATATATTTCAATTTTTAATGAGAATCCTTTAAATTTTATTACAATATTTCTTTTGAATAAATAAATGATGAGGATTTCTTTTATTGTAAGAATTTATTTTAAAACAAATTTCGAAAAATCAACTTTTCTTTCAATTTGCTTAAAAGGTTTGAATAAATGCCGCAAAAATAAAAAAAAATGAAGGTATTTGTCGAGATATTTTTAGTACGAATATTAATTAAAATATTTATTATAATGAGTTAGCTGTAATTTTTGCGTAAATGGTCTATAATAAATGAATTTTGAATGAAAATATTAATGGATGAATTTGTGCTATGAAAATAAACAGATGCATCTGAAAATACACAGTGGTTTACACGTCATAACGTTTTTGACTGGAGGACAGATTTGACATATTCATAGGTCAAACAAACTGTTTTAGAAGTTAACTTGAAACACCAAATGACTATCTTTTTGTAGATTTGCATAATTTACCAATACTTTATTCTTCAGTATAGTTGTTTTGTACTGCATTTCGATATATTTGTCTTGTAACTTTTACTAGCAACCTGAGGGCCAATTGCCTAGGGCCATGATCTTTTTGGTACCATATTCTGCAGGTTCGAATCCTGGTCATGGAATGGAGGTTTATTAGTGGTTCGAATCTACGTTAGACAGTAGGTCTCGGTCTAATTAGCTTAAAGTGTGCAAAAAAAGATCGTAGAGTTACAAAAACCAAACTATAAATTTTTACTTCGCCTAGGGCTTAGGAATAGAAAGCTTTAAGCATAAAAAAAAATTCTACTTCAATGCTTCATTTAATAATTACTGAAAAACTTAAAGATGGAATCATTGATGAAACCTAGAATTAATAATGATTGATACTATTGATACACTGAAATTTTAAATTTATTCTTCACAAATGTAATAGGTTGACATTTGGAATTCATGTTGTAAAATGATCATGAATCTATTTGCTTGTGCTATTGTAAAATTTGAGTTTTTAGAGTTTTACGTCTTATTAGTTAAAATGGTAAGTTAAAAGTTAAAAGGTACAAAATTTAAAGTTAAAATGGTACTAAATTAAAAAAATAAGGACATATAGTATATTAACAGAAAAGCTAATTTATGTGCAAACTCTATAATTTTTTGATATTTTTGAGTTGTTTTTATTGAACCTGTTAAAATTGGGTACTATAAAAAGATTTACATAAAAAAAAATAATATATTTTGGTCATGATTCTTTGCTTACTTTTAAAATATGATTCTGCAAACTTAAAATAAAACGTATTTCTAAGAGAAATAGAGCAATTTCAAAATCGGAAAAATATATTCTAAATTT